GGCCATACTTTGAGGAACGCTGATGTAATAATACATGCTTACAGCACTGAGAATCTTTACCTGCTAGAGATTGCTATTCTTAGGGTAAGTACCTCTTCCTTCAGATGTCTTAAGTATCTTTCCAATCCTTCACCCAACAAAAGCACCTAGTATGCATCAGGCTCTTTGTTAGGGAATTAACAAAGAATAAGATACAATCTTTATTCTCCAAGAATTTTCTTGGGCAGTTTGGGGACCAAAGGCAGAAAATAAGTAAGGAGCTATAATGTAAGATAAGAATTTCTTAAAAAGAATAATGTTAAAGGTGATAGACAACAAAGGGAATGCTGAATTGTATATCTAACTTTGAACTCGAGCCACGTGACAAAATCCTCACCAAATCAATCAGTCGCCAGGTCCTTTCTTCCATCAAATCTCTTAAAAATGTCCAAGTTAATTGCCTTTGGAAATGTTTCACACATAATTGAGCTTGGCTCCAGGCATTGTAGTTTCATGCTTGGACATGCAGTGCTGTTTCCCTTTGGCCTTCATGCTTCTCTATTTCATATTTACAAGTGTGTAGCCTTGTGCCAGTGTAGCTGATAACGAATGCTTTTTTCCTTGTCCTCATATTTAAATATAAGCTTGTACCTGCTTTAGTCATGTGTTGGGTGATGTAACAGTGTTGGTTTTATTTGGGGTGCCATCACCACTCACAAGTTATGTGTGGACAATGTACCCAAAGGCTGCTCGGGGAAGACCTGTTCTAAGACAGAGAAGGCTTGTAAGAGCCGCCGTACTGTTTCCCTAAGGTCTCCATCCCCACGATTTGCAGAACGTTCGTCTTCAGTTAACGGAGTGAAACTTCCTTGAGGGGATTTCCATAAAAAGCTGAATCCCGCCTCGGTCATCATTGACAAAAGTCAGACACGTGTTCTCCCGTCCGGAAGCCAGCAGTAACTTTTAGCGAAGGCGCTGTTCTCAGGAAACCTCCCTGCTCAGAACAAACAGCCCTGTTAAAACTTAAGTCTTTTAACAGGAAAAAAATAAAAGCATAGACGGGAGAGTGAGAAAGGCTTTTCCCCCCGTGGCGGTGATGAGGGATGTTAAAGGAGCTCCAAAAAGAGTGCGGGGAACTCCTATTCCTTTCCCCGGTCCTCGGCTGAAGGGCTGGGGAGAAGGGGGCGGAGAAGGGCCAGGGAGAGTCTGGCCCTTTAAGGAGGAGGGACGGACCGAAGACTCGGTACCTTAAGAGTCTCTTTGTCTGGAAACCTCCTTATTTACCCCTCTTGTGCTTCCAGCAAACTTCGGTTCCTAGCGTCCCGCCACGCCGCCGCCCCTCACGCTGGGCTCAGTTGGCCTTCGGTCCCGGCTGGCCCTAAACTTTGCACCCGCGGCGCGAACCCCGCGAGCCAACGCCTTCGCCGGGGTCTGGGCCCAGCGCTGCGCCGTTGGCGCAATGCGGGGGTCGGGGGCGGGGCTCCGGCGCGCGGACCAATGGGCGGGGAGGGGGCGGGGCCGAGCGCGGTGGTCTCGCCCCGGTGACAGCTCGCGCGTGCAGACGATGGCGGTAAATAGAGGGGGGGGGGCCGGTGGAGGAAGGGGGTGGAGGCGGTGGGGAGGCGGCCGAGGGCTAGGGTAGCTCCAGGGGGTGGGGGAGACGGGGGCCGGGGCGGCCAGGGAGCCCATTCCAAGACTCGGAGGCGGGGACAGGAGTCTCCGGCTCACTGGCCCTCCCCTTTAAAGAAGCCAAATCCTCACGCCGGGTGAGGGGCGACAAAGGCGGCGCGCGCCTCGCGGGCGGGAGGAGCGGCGGCGGGGGCGGGGCCGCGGCGCCGGCGGCCGGAGCGCCCGGGGCGGGGGCCGGCGGGAGGCGGGAGACCACGGTCGGGTCCGGCCGCGCCGGCGCTGGGTTTTGGCGGGGTGGGCGACGGCTGGGTTTGGGTCCGAGCCTTGAGGAGGAGAGAGGAAGGCTGGCTTGAGGGGCGGTTGCGGGGAACGGGTCTGAGAATGACATGAGGATTCAAGGGAGTGAGGGTTAGACGAAGGCGGGAGAAAAGCCAGCCTGGGAGGCAGGAGGAGGCAGAAACCAGGGAGGGTGTTAGGAAGCCGGGCGAGGAGTGAGGCTGGAAGACCGCGTTTGGGAGAGCCACCCCGGGGTTAGGTGTAGGAGCAGAGCTTCGCGGGGGTGGTGGTGGGGCGATGGGCACTGAGGTTGGAGTTGGGAGTGGGCGGCAGGGAGAGGCAGAGCTGGGGTGATAGTTGGGCGCCGAGGAGAGAGAGAGAGAGAGAGAGAGAGAGAGAGAGAGAGAGAGAGAGAGAGAGAGAGAGAGAGAGATTGATTAAGAGCCAGACGTGACGAGGGTGTGAACTAGTGCAGGGCGGGATGAGCTGAAGGACTGGGACTAGCGGTGGGCGGGAGCTGCGAGGGTCTGAGAAAGGTAACGGGTCAGTGGTGGGCGATGGGTGCACAATCTTGAAAGTGAAAGAAGGTGACTGAAACACTGGACTGGTCCCAGGTGGAGTTAGGACTGAGAGCGTATTGGGAGGGTGCAGGGCCATGGAGATGAGAGCCAGGACGTTTATAGGACAACTGGGGGACCAGAAAAGCTGAAAGGAAAGAGAGGCGGGTGTAAGAAGTGATGGCGGTGTGGGACAGGGTAACTGCGGAATTGTGGTCGTGGATGAGGTTCAGCAAGAGCCAAGGTAAACGTAGTGAAGAGGAGAGATGGGGCTGAGAGCAGAGGGTGAGAGGAGTCAGGCAGAGGCGGCCCGGGGTTTAAATGGTGAGAAGGGGAGTAAGGGAAGAGCGCAGGGTTCAGGAAAAGCAGAGGAACCCTGATGGATGCAGAGCTGGGGTGTAGTGCAGAGGCGGGGAAGCAAATGTGCATGTTGTGGGGAGATAGTCCAGAAGGTCTGCATGGGTCAGGGCACGGATGCCCTAGTGAAGGACCAAGTGTAGGGAGCCTTTGGTCCAGAAGAGGAGGCATCATGGTGAGTGAAGAGACCAGAGACAGGGGTACAAACTAAGTGGAGTGGGGAGGAATTCTTTGTTGAGAAGAGACCGTGTTGAAACTGTCTTGAGTCCTTTTGTCCATAAAAGTAAGAAATTTCAGAAACGTCTTTCTCTCTTCAAGGGATTTTGAATCTGCTTCTGCCTTTCATTGTTTTTAATTTGACTTTTATGTCCACTCGGAAGAGATGAGACTCGTTTTGATTTGATATTTTTCTTGTCTGAATGATAAAGCATCAACTCGGTGCTGAAAACCTCTGCATTTCACTGGGGTGTGATCTTGGGAAAACGGGGCGCATTTTTTTTTTTTTTTTTTTTTAAATAGGGTGGCTGTGCCTGTGTGGTGTGGCAGAGCTGTGTTGTTGCTGACTAGCCCTGGGCCAGCAGAGTGCTTTATCCACGGTATTTTCATTTCCAGTGGAGAGCCCGCTGTTAGTGAGATAAAGATGAAGATCTTTTTGTTTTGATAAATATCCAGATTTCTACCTAGCTGTGTTTGGTGGTTGGAGAATATGGAAAAGTCATTTCAGAAAGAGGCAAATGACCGACCAGGGAAGTTTGCTGAGGAAGAGATTAAATCAGGACTGTGAAGGCTTTGAGTTCCTGAGCTGCCTTTAGCTTTGTGTGGGACATTTCATAGTGTGGGAGGTGGCATCCATTTAGCAAAATGAAATAAAGACAGGGAGATTTGTAGAGTAGTAAAGGATTTTGGAATGGGACTTCTTTTTTAGGTTAAATAATGAACTTGTGAGTAGTTTTTGTCATGGAGAAAACCTCTAATATGCAAACTGGAGCCTTGGACAGCTCACTATGTCTCCTATTTTGTAGGTGTGACTAAAGAAAGCCAATATTGATATTAACTTTACAGAAGATTTTATTTTTAAGACACTTTGGGAAATTAAAGGGAGATAAGAAAATTGAGACAAAATTTAGATTATTCTTACTATTGGATGATTTTTAGTCTGAAGGTCTTATATTTAGCTAAGACTATGAATGATTATACTTAATGGTGCTAAAGGATAGAATAGAATTTACTTTAAAAAATGCAAACTGTTCTTGAGAATCTTATTTGAGGTTATTTCATTAGTATACATTGAGATACACAAAGATAATTTTTTTTCAAAGGCAGGTACATTCTTTGGAGTACTACTGTTTTGTGGGTGTTTGTGTAAAAGGAAAGATTATGTTAAAGGCATTTGTAATATCAAAGATTTGACTTTGATTTGCGGATATTAGAAACATTGGTGGTTAATATATATAAATAACTTAGAATCTTAAATCTTTCTGAATTCAGCTGCTAACTGTATTCATGGATTGTGGATTCTGTTAAGCAGATGTTCAAGGTGACTAGATTGATTTAGCACTTTAACAGGATTTTTAGTATCTGTGCTGCCGAAGCGAGTACTTAACAGGATTTTTAAAAATTACTATTTTTGCTGCTAAATTTCAAGAAGATTAATCTTAAATATTAACTTTCAAGCTGAAGAGTAACTTTGGTATGAGGTGTGTGTTTCTGTGAGATGTGTGTGAGAATTTCTTTACAGATGTGTTGGGCTGGCGTAACTAGTAAAATGGTATTGCCATTTTAATAGTGTAATTGTTTTATACTGTGTTCTCACATAAATTATTTTAGACTTAATAATATTGGTAAAGAAGAAGATATAAGGTATAAGAACCACCAAGGAGAAGATTCTGGCTCAGTCCTGTCTTTTGTTTCTGTCTGCTGCCATAGTGTGCTAAATCATCAATTCTCTTCAAATGGTTATTTCTTACTTCACACTCCTAAAACTGAAAATGGATCATCTTTTAGTTCAGCTGATACTATTTATCAGTAATAATTCTGGTGATAAATTAAAGCTTTATTTTCATTTGTTCATCAAGTAGAATTCTATTCAAGTTAACTTTATTTAGTTTAATCGTATTTGCTAAGCAAAAACTTTTAAGTTTATATTTTCAGATTTGAGTAAGTAGGTTATACATTTAATTATGTCTTTCTGGTTAATTGTAGATCCTTTGGATGGGACGAAAACTTGAAAGGACCTCTAGTTTATCCAGCAACTTCAGTCAATATCCCACTTAAATCAACCCAGGTAGATAAAGATTTATGCTATTTTTATAAATCTTCAGAGGTAATGTGGCAACCTTTGTAGATAACCTTTTCCAGCATTTAATTATATACTGCTGTGAAGTTATCCTTTACCATGCTCTTTTCCAGATTACACAGTGCTGGTTTATTTTAATCCCTTAATGTGTCTTGTTTGCTAATCCTTAAATTATCCCTTTGGTTCTGTTATTAACTGTTTCTCAGTTCCTTTCTAGATGGGGAACCTGAGACAAACATCCTAAGGGTTATATCTAATGCAAAGATTACATCAAGGTTCTTACATACTCCTAATTTTTCATTATAAAATTGTTTTTTTATAAGACAGAATGACCCCAAAACAATAATAATAAAAAAAGACTAATAGCATTGCAGATTAATGATTATTTATTAGCTAGAAAAGGGTCCTGGACCTGTTATATATCCTACAGGTTTGTAGACTCTTGCTGACATTTTACTATCTTCTGTTTGTTTGCCAGTATAAATAATGTACTAAGTACATTTATACATGCTTTAATTTGGTTAAGTAAATTGATGCATTCATTTTTATGAAATTAAGACTTTATTATTTTTTAATCTTCACCCAAGGATATATTTATTGATTTTTTTCTTTTTCTTTTTGGAGAGAAACATGAATGTGAGAGAAAAACATCAATTAGTTGCCTTCTGTACGTGCCCTGACCAGGAATCGAACCTGCAACCTAGGAATGAGCCCTGACTGGGAATCATACCTGCAATCTTTTTTGGTGTGTGGGACAATGATGCTCCAATCAACTGAGCCACCCAGTCAAGGCAAAACTTTATCTTTATAGAGTAGTTTTAGGTTCACAGAAAATTAAGGGGAAGATACAGAGATTTACTTATTATTTACTCTCTGCCCACACACATGCACAGCCACCTCCATTATCAGCATCCTCCACCTAGTGGTTCATTTAGTACAAATGATCCATTCTTTAAAAAAAAAAAAAAATACTTAGCCCTAGCTGGTGTGTTTTAGTGGATAGAGCATCAGCCTGTGGACTGAAGGGTCCTGGGTTTGATTCCGGTCAAGGGCATGTACCTTGGTTGCGGGCACATCTCCAGTAGGGGGCATGCAGGAGATGGCCCATCAACGATTCTCTCATCATTGATGTTTCTATCTCTTCCTTTCCCTTTCTTTTTGAAATCAATAAAAAATAAATAAATAAATAAATAAATAAATAAAAAGATACCTAATGATTAGCATGAATAATTTTGTTAACTGGTTAAAACTTGACAACCCTATTAGGGAATATCTGTCGTTAATAACTTGATTATTTTGGATGACTTATAAAAAATTTTTAAATGTTTTAAACGTACAGAAAAGTTACAAAAATGGAACAGGGAAATTCTATATACCCTTATTTAAAATCATCAGTTGTTTTTGTTTTATTATTTTATCTCACTTGAGTATTTCTAAACTAGTAAATTTAAAAAGGAAATAGATATGAAGGCCTTAATATTTAAAAGAGAGGGGGAAATGTCTTGAGTATATCAGCAAGTAGGTATGTATTTTATTTTAGTCAAGCATGTGAAGCAAAGGAATCAGAGTGGATTTCCTGCTATTCTGGTTTGTTTTCTTCTATTCAGAAAATCATTCTTCTACCTATGAATGATGAGTTTGTAGGCCCCTCCCACATCAGTAAAAACTGTGTCACGGTGTACCTCTGTGTTGGGGACCTGGCAGGTGTGCTCACACATGAGTGGGTCCTCAGGATATACTAAGCATTGATGATGTGTGGGAGGTTATTATGTGAAAGCAGGAGCTAGAGTTTTTCAACACCACGCCTAAGGTATATTCTATAGATCCTTTTGTAGCTTTAGGAGATGGAAAAGATCCAAGTGGAAAATGTATAAGACCATTGGTTGTAATTATACTGATAGGTTTGCCTTAAGGTAAGGGAATGAAGATAAAAATATTATAACATTCTATTATCTCCCCCCAAATAACCTACATTTTGGGAATCTTTTCAGTTGTCATATAAGGAGATTTAATTGACCCCCATCTCCACTGCCACCTTCCAGCTCATTCTCAGTCTTTATTATTAAAATGGTAGCTTGTACTTTTGGTAAAGGTATATCCTGCAGAATGAGCCCTGTCTGATTTTAGTGAAAAGATTATTAGCTGTACTCTGTCAGATGTAAATTACAGCACTTGTAAGCCTTTTTTTCCTTGCCCCCACTTTAAGTGATCATCAAACTGATGAAATATAGCTTCTTATTACAGTTGATTGTCATAATTAAAAACACTATGCTTTCATAAAGGTGATAAAATTACAAATTATTTAGAAAGCATTCTTCCCAGTCAGGCATTATTGTTTCTTAGGCATGGTCAGTTTTTAAAGACTATAACACTGTTCCTTTGCCATTTACATGTTAATAGAAGCCTGAAAAGTAAGGTGCTCTTCTGAAATGTTCGGGGTTGTTTTTATTATGTGTCATGTTGTAAACAGCATTTTGTGACAGGTACTTTATCTCTTTGTCTTCTACTGAGCTAATTAGTAATTTACACTCTATAGCATCTCTTCCAGCCTCCCTGTGTGAAAACTCCTGCTACACTGTGCCTTCCGTGCAGCATGGCTGGCAAGTGATTGGGGGCAGATGTTGGTTAGCACATCAGAAAGATCAAGGCTAAAATCTATTTTTGTGTTTTTAATAAATGCAGGCTTTTGGATATGTCGAGGGGACTGATCACACAAAGAGATGTTATAAGTAAAGATGAAAAAGTTAATATATGACTGGAATTTGCCCCTTCCCCTCCCCTCATATTTAAGTAGGAGTGTTATGACCTCCTGTAATCCAGAGCAGCAGTCCTTGATTCAACTTTGAACTTTTCTATTCTGTCCCCACCCCCACCTTGTGGGATGTGGGGAGGATTAGCAGAACAGTCTGGCATGGTTTGCAGCCCAGAGAGCTGATCTTCACTGGTCCCTCCCATTGTCACAATACAGAGCTTCTTGTCATTGTCTTTATAACCCAACCGTCCTTCTTTGGCTGGGCCTGGTAAGCGAGGGGTGGCAGGGCAGCACTGTTGCTATGAGTTAGGAAAGTACTTTTAAAGAACACTCGTATTCCTCCAAAGGCATGCTAGGCCCTGCTTTGTATCAGCTTTTTCAAAATGCAGCCGAGAGTGACTGAAAGATAATTTATTGCTTGGCTTTAGCACTTTGTCACATTGGTGTTCTGCTCTTTCCTGCCCCCTGGCCTATCTCTTCCAGTCTCTGCCACATGGGAAAGGTGATGTGTAGTATCCGTCATGCGCTCATTTGGATAGGCCACGTGGGCATATTAAAGTAGCAAAACTTTGACTTTGGAAAAAGTTGTAAGGATCGGTTTGTTTAGTGAAGAATATAATTTTAATTGAGAATTAAAGGAATGGTAGAAATGGGTTTAGTGATTTATTAGTTTTGAGCCAGAACCTTTCTGGTGTGCTAGATAATTTGTGGTACTTATTTTTTCAGTTAGAGATGCTAACTTATCAGGATAATAAGGTCAGAGTCCCTGTTAGAATTAATTAGGATCCTCCCGACAAAAAAACTGTTGCCTGGAGGTAGCCACAAAGAAAATCAGGTGAGAAAGTGTGAGAAAAGCTCAGTTAAGCCATCATTGCTAGTACATTTTTATAATCATAGACATCTAGCCTTTGACAGTGCATCAGCATTCAAGGACATTGCATGTGTGTAAGCATTCATAGCGTATGTGGGTCTATATGTTTTCCTCACATTTACTTCTTTTAATGTTCTAATACAACAGCCTATATTATTATCCTAATTGTGTTGGGAGTTCATGGCTAGATACTAATTACATTCTTGCTTTAAGAGTGTAATTAGATAAAAGGTCAAAGGTCAGATTAATAAGCAATATAAAAAATCGAGGAGACTGATCACACAAAGAGATGTTATAAGTAAAGATGAAAAAGTTAATATATGATTGGAATTGAGTATACTCTTTTAAAAGAAACATTTTTTAAATGGATGGTATAGCTTGAAGAACTGACAACAATACATTTCACTTGAAAGATACGTGTGCTTTTATGAAGAAATCAAACCATTTGTGGTTGGCTTCATTGTCTACTCCATGCTAAAAATTCCAAATTGGTTAAACATTACCAGTCTCCCTAATTATATTGTGTTTTGTTTTTTTTTAATATATTTTATTGATTTTGTACAGAGAGGAAGGGAGAGAGATAGAGAGTTAGAAACATCGATGAGAGAGTCATCGATCAACTGTCTCTTGCACACCCCCTACTGGGGATATGCCCGCAACCAAGGTACATGCCCTTGACCGGAATCGAACCTGGGTCCTTCAGTCCCCAAGCCGACGCTCTATCCACTGAGCCAAACCGGTTTTGGCCCCAATTATATTGTTAATGTGCTTCTTGAATACTTTTTATTTTCATAGGCAGCTCAGCTTAATTTACAACTAATAGTAAAATCAAAAGTCTATTTAAGCTGTAAAGTCAGTAATCCTAATCATTTAAATAAATATAAAATAAAACATATAATTACTATTTTTTGCCTATTAGATTGAAAGATTAAACAAGTTGATGATAGCCAATAGTGAATGAGGATGTGGAGAAATTGGAGGTTTCATACACTGTTGGTGGGAATGTAAGTTTCCTTGGAGATAAATTTAACAATGCCTATTGGAATTTAAAATGTGTGAACCCTGTCACCGAGTAATTCCACTTCTAGACATTTGTCCTATGGATAATATTCATACACTTGCATGGAAACTGTAGTACAGTTTTCTTTATTTTATTGTTTGTTATAGTAAAAAATGAAGTTCCTCAGTCAGGAGATTTGTTAAATTATGTATGATGGGTCCCCACAGTGGAATGCCACTAAGTTGTTAAGAATTCAGTGGAGCCCTAGCTAGTTTGGCTCAGTGGATGGAGCCTTGGACTGTGGACTGAAGGGTCCTGGGTTCATTTCCGGTCAAGGACACATGCCCAGGTTGGG